GAAATTTATCCCAAAACTTGCTAGTTTCACTTTGATTTTTTAAAACTCAAGTAGGGTAACTCTGTTCGCAAAGAGTGCGCTTTTGTGAAGAGGGCGCCACCAAATTTTGAGGACACTTTTTTAATTGGCTCAAAGAGAGAAGTGACCCATCTTGTCTTGTACTATCTTTGGTTCCAACCAAAGTTGTGGCCCTGCTGGTGTCAAAAGCCTGCGAATGTTATATTTCTAGCCTAATTTCTGCCAAATTGACATTTTTCTAAGAGTACATGAGGTCACAATGAGGTGAAAGGTGAACTGTGCTTACAAAACCCCCGATATAAATAAAAATCAAGGTAGGCTATCTGTAAAATAATTCAGACATGTATTATTAGGCCTAGATCTAGATATTTTAAGCAAGGGAAGGGACAGGAAGGGAAGCCAGCATTATACACGTAAAAGGTTATTTTTTGTGCTAGATCTAGGGTTAGTTTTTTTTAGCAAATTGAAACCTTACAAAATTAGTGTCCAGATTCCGGAATGAATAATATAAAACGTAGAATAGACCCAGATCTAGATAAATCTAGTCTAGATCTAGGTCTAGTAGCGTAGTGTTTATATATTTCTTAATGGTATCCCCTCTTTTAGTTTTAGGCCTAAACCCTATCCCCTCCAAAACTCCCCCTCCCCAGAACTCGGGCCTTAACAGTTGCTTGTGAGGTTGGCCTAAAGATCCTACTGTTAGCTTTTGAAGCAATCCACGAAATTGGACAATCCTATCTCACAGAACTCATAAATGTGCAAGCATCCTTCAGAAACACAGTACAGAGTAAACACATAAGATTGTCAACTAGAAATGGCAGAACAAAAATCGGAAATCGGGCTTTCAGTGTTTCAGCCCCATCTTTATGTAACGCACTGCCAGTATCAGTAAGAAATGTTGAGACTGGATTCTTTCAAACAACACGTCAAGACATTTCTGTTCTAGAAAATGTTCAACTGATCCAAATTGTAGTGCCTCAGAGCAGATCTTCTGGAGTGGGCGCTTTATAAATGCCTTATGACTTATGACTTGCATATTGCTAACCTACGCTATTGTGGGTCAAGTAGTTATTTTCAATACTAATGCTATTCATATATCGGTATAACTAGGTGTTAAATTACACTAACACATGTTTCTTCGTACTAACAGGAAAACGAATAAACACAACGGGAAAGTGAGAGTTGGTGGGATTTGGGGCAGGGGAGAGAGAGAGAGAGAGAGAGAGAGAGAGAGAGAGAGAGAGAGAGAGAGAGAGAGAGAGAGAGAGAGAGAGAGAGAGGGGGGGGGAAGAAAGAGAGGGAAAGTGAGAGAGGGAGGAGGGAAAGTGAGAGAGGGATAGAGAATGGGAGACAGGGAGAAAAAGAGGATGAAGGTGGAGGTGGTGGGACAGGGGTGGAAACAAAGACCGGTAAAGACATAATTAACAATCGGGGAAACAAAATGTAAGCAAAAAGAAAAATACCAAAGGATAACATTAAATGCACTTGACGGTACGGGTTTTCCTTTAACCCTTTTGATAAAGACTCCCCCTCCCTCTCCCCCCC